AGCCATATTCAATTTCAAGTTAGTATTGCATACATATTCAGTACTGTATCTGTAAAACACATTAATCACGAATTGCGTGATACATACGCTTATGTTATGCGTGTTTTAAAATCAATAGCACTTCACACATACAACTCTCAAATGGCACTAATTATATATGCAATTCAATAGAAATAACTGTGTTTTTCATTCAGTCAGACATGAGATATGACTTATTATATAACAACTGATTTATCGACAAATGGGTTGCGTTTAGACTCTCAAAGACTTGTTGATCGCCAGTGAAAATGAAATTCAATTTTTTCTCAAAACAATTTTCAATATCTGTCGAAATAATTAGTTTGTAATATATGTGTATAAATGAGAAAATAATGTTTATAAGATATACTATATAATGAAAAGTTGAATCCGAGTAAAATACAAATAAGCCATAAAAAGTGCATATTTATCGACTGAAAAACGCAATTTTCGTTTCAATCAAACGTAATGATAGTATAATTGAAAATTCAAATCTCGTTTTTATTGCACATTTGATTACGGTATACATTTGGCATATATTTTTGTGTGTTATTTTTATTTGTTATTAAATAATCTATTTTTAAAATATCAATTTTGTCAAGATATGAGAATTAGTTTTTGATTTGAACAGTGTAACTTTGCCTTCACTTCGAAGTTCACCATAAATATCTTCAACAGAAATAAGTGTCAAAATGTTAAGCCATGGGAACTTGAAATTGAAGTATTATTTTGTCATTTTATGTCACTTTAAGTTTGTTGTTGTCATCCATTCATGTGAACAATAAGAGGAGTTAAAGACTAGACTCTAAACTGATTTCTTGGGAAAAGAGATTTATTTACGAAACAGTATTTAAAATTAAAAGTATAATAAAACCATTAAAATGTATATAATTATAATTAAATATTCAGTGCTTTATACGATATTTATATAATGCAATTCCAGTAGTAATGTTTAGCTTAAGGATAAACAGATAGATATTAACATTTATACACAAGTATTATGATATTAATCGCGTAACATAATGGATATATAAATTTTATTGCCAACATTTATCGGTAATCTTAGAGATAATCTTTGCATTTTCGCACTTAACTTATATTTATCAACAAATTTATGCGTTAAAGATATGACCGGAATATAAGAGTTGATGTTATAAATGAAATGCGAGAATAAAAAGGAGTAATTGTAGCGAAACTAATACGACCACAACATGTATGAAAAATGAGCTTCACTTTTGTTTTGGTCATAAAATTAACTTTACTTTCATATTGTATGCGATAACCATTTTATATAATACCGGCGATGACTTATCACACGGCAAAGTGATGCCAAACGCTGAAAACGCCACAAATTAATGTTTGTCTGAAAAATATTATATATTTTCGTAGTTATTAATATATCTCAATGTTTACCAAAACGGAAATACATTTGTGTTGTTGTATGAAAGCGAATTTATTTATATATATATTTATCTCAAAGTTTTATTTTAATTAGAAATAATTAATTAAAAATATACAAAACTATAATAATAATTATTGCATTAATTTATCTAATCTGGGCTTTTGTGGTGGCAAAATATTTAGCACCAAAAATATATCTGTCAAAAGTGTTGGCAATTATTTTTTGTTTTGCTGCAAACATAGGGTTTATTTTTCGGGCTTATCTCCGAAAACAATAGTAAAACAGAAATTTAATTGAAATTTGTTTGACTTGAAGAGTGAGTCACAGAATAATAATGTATTGTTTTCGGACTAAAATCAAAATATATTTCATATATTTATCTGTATATCGTTTTGAACAGAGCGTACACTCGCCAAAGCATTACAGCTCCCTTTCCCTTCCCTTTTAATGCCTTTCCATTTAATGATTATTTAAACAATTTAATGCCATAGAAGTGGATGGGAATCACTGGACAGACACACAGAGAATCCAAAGACCCATATGTTTGCCAACAGTTTTGTCAGATATATAGTCCATAAATACTTATTAAACGTTGTGTTCAATACTATTAACTTTTACGACATTGAATACGTTTATTGTCTATTACTCGCCAATACTATAAGAGTTTATTAAATACTCTATTATTAAATACAATAAATCAATAGTTTTTGTTTATGTAAAAATCCAAACATGTTTATAATACATGTTTTGTAATTTGTTTTAGGTTAAAATTTAAAATTCCTTAGCACATTGATAGCGATTAAATAACTCTTATTTGTATAGAAAAAATAAGTATAACGATATAACGTATGGTATTTTGTAATAATAAATTATTTCCGATATTATTTTTATTCAAATATGTTATAAATTCTTATAAACACTTTAAGCGGAAATTCTGGGAATAATAAAATTATTTAATAATTGCAAAATAATTTGTATACTAATCATTAAAATATTTTCAGTGAATTTCTTTTCTTATAAATCTATGACTTTGTGTAGAAAAATGTTAATTACGGGTATAAATGAAATGTATTAAAAATTTCTTATCATAAAATCATTTATTGATTGAGTTTAATGACTATCATTGAGAGTGGAAAGGGAGCCTTGAATTGCTAGTAAAACATAACTGAAAATTTATTCATTGACTAAATGGCAGGAAATCTATTATAAAATTATTTGATTCCCAAAATCGGTTGATATTTGAAGACATTTATTAAATGTGAAGAAAGAGTGCAATAATATACGTAATAATAGACATTATTTGCCCCATAATTACTGTATTGATGCAAATGTTTCAAATATTTATCCATTATTTTATGAAATAAATTATCAGTATTTATATAAATGTAATTATAGTTGTCTACGTAAATTTTGGTCCAAATTATATTTATATAAATCCATTTGTGTTGAAGTGATTAAAGATTAAAATGACAAATTTTATACCATAGTTAATGTATTTTGCAGCATATCATTAATCTTTGTATAACTTAACAAATAATTAATGATTATTATGTTTTAAGACAATAGAAAATATTGTATTTAATAAAATTGTACATAAAACAACAATCTAATAGTTATTATAATATATAACTTTATATTTTTATAGACATTTATGATGTAAATGTAAGCAATATTTATAATAACCATAAGTTTAATGACTTAATCTTCGATATAAAAGCAATTTGTTTACATAATTTCAATACAATTGTGAATTGATATAAATTATATTTATAGACATTTTTGATGTAAATGTAAGCAATATTTATAATAACCATAAGTTTAATGACTTAATCTTCGATATAAAAGCAATTTGTTTACATAATTTCAATACAATTGTGAATTGATATAAATTATATAATATAATGGTTGCAATTATTTAATTAGCTGTCAATTGTGTAAAACACGTCTATAGCTTAAACTAAATTTATTTTTTCTTATCAATAAATTTTGCTTTCATTTCAATCATATATTAATTTAAAAAATTAAGTTTATTTTAGATTTCTTTCAATACTTTGTGTAATAAAGAAATTTATATATCATTTAAATGACATCTTTAGTTTTATATATACATTATTCGTATATATTATATCGCATTTAGCTTTCAATTCGTGTTTTAAATTGAATTTATTGTTCAGAATCAAGAGAAATAAGTTTAAGTGTAAGGGAATTGACATAAAACTAAAATAGAGATCGTTTTGAGAAATCAAAGTTAACACAAGAATCGTAATCACAGAATATAGTCGACGCACACATTATAATAACGATTACTTAGCTCTCTCTCTCTCTCTCTCTCTCTTATTCCTTAAAATTATCAAAATTCATGTCATGATTACATAAGAATATCTAATAGTGTTGTATATGCCATGAAATGTTTAATCGATGTATTAATAGTGAGAATAACTGCAGAATTTAAAAAATATCTTTATTTCTTAAATTATAGAGAACTAAGAATTTGTGCACAAAATAAATATTAAGTAATTTGTAGCCATTAAAACAGAAATTTAAGATATAAAATGAAAAGACAAAAAAATAATAAGTTTTTAAACTTATTTCAAAAATATTTTTAATCACAAAAATATAAAACAAATTCAATTCAATCATAACAACAAGTCTTTAGATGTGTTTTCAATAACTTATTTTTAATATCAGATAAATGGGTTGAAAGTATAGTCTTTAGTCTTTAAACTAAACAAATCTTTAGTTATTCTTCAAAAGTTGAGATCAACTGCTGGACATCACAGACAATGAGAAGTACTAAGGGATATGCGGTAACACCAGGCCATCGACCAACACCCGGATACCTACCGTTGGGCAGTAGATCCCAATCAGGTTCACACTCACAGCTTATGGGGGTTTCGGGCTCTTACAGGTCATCACAGGGTTATCCAAAATCTGATGGTTGGGGGGTTCCCTCATCTGGTGCTAGGGGTGGGCCCGCATCTGGTGTTACGCGAGTGGCTGTGCCTATGAGAAGATCATAGAGTTATGACATAACTCCAGGCCCTCAACCAGAGCGCGGATGTTTACCATTTGACTCGATATGTGGTCGCGGATCCGGAACTGGCAGTCAGTTCCCAGATTGACACCTTATGGGCAATCATAAGGACATTAAACTCCGAGAAGACTTTTTTCTAATTAGTCAAATAGTTTTCAAATCAAAATCAATGATAATTTACTCAACAAATAATTCAAATACTTTTCTCAAACATTAATTTATTTCAATGAACACTAAAATCAATTTCTAAACATAATAAAATAAACTTGCATTAAAAATGTCAAATTTTAATCAAACACTCATTAAATTCATATAAAATTCAATGTGACATTCAAATGATGCGAAAATATATATCGATTGAGGGAATAGTGAAAAATAATAGCGATTTAATTGAAGACATGCTTTAATTAGCATTTTTTCCGTCTGACCTGAAAGTCGAGAAATAAGACAAAATGAATGAATAAATCAAAAATACATGATTGGAGAGCAAACTGACCTGAAGATGCCGACAACGACGGCGTGGTCTCTCTCATATGGCTCAAGAGTGACCTGTTCCAGAGGCTTCACTTTATCCAATTGCAATTTCTTCACCTCCTGTGCAAACACAGCCTCTGCCGGTGCCGTCGAGTCAATACAGTTGGCCTAAAGTGGACACAAACCACACGTTTAGCTTCACTTCAAATGCAAATCACCACAAATGTGTGCAAACCTTAATAGAGATGACGACGTGTCCACCGACTTTGAGGAAATGCTGGGCATTGAGGGTAACGATGCGCGCCTGATCTGGTTGGGCCACGTCGGCGAAGATCGTGTCCACCATCGACATCACCATTCGGTACTTATGCGGATGTCTCGCGTCCTCAATGATCGGCACAATGTTTGGCCGCTTTTGGGCCACACCTAACAGATCTGTGGTTCACATTGAATACGAGAGACAAACAGTGAGACAATGGCCACAACTCGACGACCAAATCAACGCATACCTCGACCGGAACGGTGAGAAAACTCGACGGCATATACCCGTCCCTCTGGGCCCACAATGTCGGACACGTGCGAGACTGTAGTGCCGGACGCGGCGCCCAAATACAGTACTTTAGAGCCGGGGGTGATGTGGATGTCCTCAACGCCTCCCAGGATGGCTGCGCCCAACTTCGAGCGGAAAGGGTTCCAAATTCTGTACTCAATCTTCCCGTTCTCCTCATCGATGGACACTCTCTTCTCCCCGTAGACCGACTCTCCGGGCACTAAGTTTTTGGTCACCAGTGCGTCCTCTTTGCCTCGAGCGATGAACACCCCCTCCAGGCGCTGGTGCGGCTCAACGATCGCCTTCTTCCCGCCCCGGAAGCCGCCTCTACCGCCAGCGCCTCCTCTTCCGCCTCTACCTCCTCGGCCGCCGCGATCGCCACCACTTAATGTATTTACTAAACTCCATAAGAGTTGTCATTCATTGAATCAATTCATATGATTTATTACAAAATACTGTATATAAGAAAATCGCAAAAATATTTTCTATGTATAGTGTCTTATGTTTGGTTTTATAATAAAATAAATATTTGTTATATAAACCGGGATTCAAAATGATTTTGAAAGTTAAATAAACAGTATTTTTTATCGTATGGATTATTTATGTGGGTTTATAATAATGTTAACCTATCATTTTACTCATAGTTTTATGTAATCATTAAAACAGATTAAAATGCATTTTAAAGTTTAATCAAAATTTTCAATTTAGAAATTGCTTTTCAAATGCAAAATGTATGTCGAAATCAAACTAATGATTTAAATTTTAATCAGTATTTAATGTTTAAAATATGTTTTTGTAAGCCATATTCAATTTCAAGTTAGTATTGCATACATATTCAGTACTGTATCTGTAAAACACATTAATCACGAATTGCGTGATACATACGCTTATGTTATGCGTGTTTTAAAATCAATAGCACTTCACA